GAAACGTTATATTTCAGTATGCAGAGTTACTTGCTTTTATCTAATTTTAAAAATTAAAAAAGTTGCGTTATTTTTCTAGTAACAATCTAAATCCAATCAATATACTACATTCAACTCTCCATTGTCCTTTCAATAATACATTGCTGTATTTAAGAGTTTTATACATAATGGAATCAGGTAATCAGTCCTTGCTATACGGTATTTCTGCATTAGGTAAAATAAAAAAAAATCGGTTGAGAACGTGTCACCTTACGCGTAGTACTCATATAAGTAATGCATAGTATTTTCATTGTTATTGTTTTAAGAATTTACTTGTACGTTGCACGAAATTTGCCAAGTAGGTACATTTCATAAGGTAAAGGTTTTCTATGAATATAAAAATGTTAAGTTATTCTGACTTATACCGCCCGCAACTTTTCGCCATCGTTCCTCACGGTCAAATTTTCATCCTCATTACCTGGATAGTTGAACCAAATAATGGAACCAATCTGTTTAACGGGTTATCGTCTGCGGTATTTCCGGACCAATACGATCTTCAAACTTTCAAGAAAAGAGCATACTCTTTCCTAAAAGGCCGGCAACGCGTTTGTGACGTCTGAGTTGCAGACGTTCAAGGGCGGCGATGGTCACTTTCCATCAGGTCACCCGTCTGCTCGTCTGCCCCTCTAACATAAAAAAATACTGGTGCCCAGAAGAACTACTAATCGACCCGTGAACCTTTGGCATCTCCAGTTGACAATATACGAAACATCAGTTTCTCATAAAGTGAAGACTCTATTGCGCATGTCATATTCTTCTTGTTTTATGTAGTTGTATTATGTTGTATACTCGTACTCATTCAACTTTGTAGCTTAAATACAGATTTAGAAGTAAGATAAACCAGTCAGTGCCTTAAGCTGTGTCTAGCATGAGGTAATCTCAGCAATTATAATACATACATAATGTATTTACTTGCAAAATAGTGGTATGGCAAATAGCTTCTGCAAAATTTGAAGTAACAATAGGTATCTATTTTTTCAATCGAAATAAATTATTGTATTTGCAAAATTAAGTGATAGGCTAATCTGTCAGTTACCGATCAACCTTAGAACGGACTATTATTTTCTAAGCTTTACATATCACCAACTTTAAATATAAAAATACAATGGCGATTGGTGAATTTTCAGTTGCGAAACCTCGTGTTCTAAAAATAGTTGCAGTTTATATTGTGATCCTATTGTACATAAGTGACCTACTTAATAGACTAAACTAAACGCCTTTTTTAGTTCATATACATGTGTACATACTCGTATAGTTATGAAAGTTGAAACTATGTAGAATTTAACTTATACCTGTCCGTTAAACTGTCCGTGTGGTGACGGATTAAGATTACAGAGTGTCATAACTCATCTCATGGATGTCGTAAGAGCTGACTAAGGGAGCAAACTACTCCGGACAACTGCGCTGCAAAGAGAATGAAAACTTGAAATAAACCCTATGCCAACACGTCTGGCAAGGTGTAGTAGGCTAAAACCTCCTTTCTAAGGAGAAGCCTATGTCCATCAGTGGACTATTTAAGGTAATTATTGTTTGTTTATGAGTATTTTAGGTGATGATGATGAAACTCATACCGTAGTTTTCAAGTAGCTTTAATATGAAAAAAAAGTAATAATTATTTACAAATAATGGTGTGATGAACACGATCATTTTTTCTGTGTCTAGGTGTAATTTAATTATAATAATGTGTTGTAATATAATGTTGTAATGTAATTTAGAAATATATTAGTGTGTTTATCAGCAGTTTGGTTACCATATCATAGGCTCCGCCTAGTTTAAGATCAGACTGGACAGAGAAAGACTAGTTTAAGAACAGACAAGCCGTGTGGGTGATGTGTAAAGTAATAGTTTTTATTAATACTATAAGGAAGCCAGTAAATGTAACCAGTGCACTAATTTTTACTAAAATATTTAACTGGTGTTTTGTAATTGTTGTTGTATTGTGACATCGTCCAGTATTGAAAGATTTGGTCATTCCTTTATCTGGTAATTGAAAACTTCCGAAAACGTGCATTTAAGTATCGTGCCCTTTGCCTCTTTTACAAATATAACTTATCCAAACTAATAAAAACATTACAGTGATCGTGCGCATGAATTATTATTTAAGTTGTATGATAAACTTGACCTCACAATAAAATAAACCCTGTGCCTTGCCTCCAACTTTCCTCTCTTTATGGAGTTACCCTTATGATGAAACATAATAAAACTCGGAGCGTATAAACTTGCTTCCCTTAAAGTCATAAATGAGGACCCACTGAAACGATATGAAGCTTTGCTTGTTACTAATTTGTAAACAGTGACTATTCATTTACAGAGGAAAATATTTTCACCGAATGAGTACACATAATATTATGATAATAAGTTAAAAAATATATTAAATGATATATTACATAATATAAATAGGAATATAAAATTCACGTTAGCGAATAAATTAATAATTCCTTAGTTGCTTTTCGGGTCGGACCAAATATTTGTATGATCTGCAAATATTTGTTTCGGAGTTTAGGTATTTTCTATTTTTAATATGTATTTATTTACAAGAAAAAGTATATAATTATTCTATTAGTAAATCTAGCTTTCACAGTACAAGCTCTGCTCTCTGTTTGAAACTAGATGGCGTTGTGTGTCAGATGTCCGAAATATTTATTTATTTATTTTCACCGAGTTATCAGATCCCAAATCCCACTTACCACCAGGTGACCAGTCTGCTTGTTTGCTGCCTATACCATAAAAAAGGAAATTAAACTTATTTTGTACTTACTTTACTACTTCCGTATGCTGATGTATTGTGTTTTATAGTGGTTAACTTATTAATACTCTTATTAATGTTTTTATTATTACATTAGACATCTAGTTGGTAGTACACACAACGCCATCTAGTTTCAAACTAAGCGGAGCTTGTACTATGAAAGTTAGATTGACTGATATAATACTTATATACTTTTTTTGTAAATACATACATATTATAAATAGAAAACACCCAAACTCCGAAATAAATATTTGCAGATCGTACAAATGGACCAAATGGGTGCGACCCTGGAATCCAACCCGAGACCTCAGCACAGCAGTCGCACACGGTACCAATGGACCACAGAGGCAGGACGTGAAGCGAAGTGCTTATATTGAAACGTGAACACTAGTTACCTTGCTTGTAGAGTGTAAATAACCATCTTCTTTGTTTCATATAACGGCCATCGTTTTAAAAGGAAAGAGCATTGTAGTAATAAAACATTTTTTTCCAAAATAATGTTTACTTCTACACAACATTCATTTTATTCATACACAAAATATTTAATTGAACATTTTTGAACAAGTTAACTATTTTTCATACACTTATCTAATCTATATTACTTTATTATAATAAAATTATTACAGTAACTCTTAAATTCACAGAATTCAGAGAATTGTATTTGTTTATTCTAAATAAAATTTTCACGAAAAATAAGGTCGGTTTTCGTACGAAACAGGAATTGTGAATCATTTCATCAAATACACAGGTGATAAAGTAATGAAACATTTGAGAACTCAAATTATATTTCAAACTCATTTTCCTGAAAATGAAATGGATTTGTTAAGAGTTCAGATGGACAGGATATGAATTTCGTAATTTCGCTGCTTCGTGTAGCTTCGTACTAAGTTTAATTTAGAATATACCTATTACTGAATATAACTGGGTTTTTCTGTCCATTGTCATACGATAAAGAGAATTGTTATTTATGTCAACGAATTAGATTTTATTATGTTTTTAACTATTAGACCAGATGTAATATTTTTTTCGCTTTTTTTTAAAAGTGGTAATAGTTTTGGCAACATTTTTAACCAATCACACAATCCATTAAAACTATTTTCATTGGTAGAATAACTTACTTAAAACACAACATAAGACAATCCGTTCCATACATGTTCTTGTGTTAAATTTAAAACTAAAAGAAATATATATTTTTTTTATGGAAGAGGGGGCAAAGGTGCTGATGGAAAGTGACTATCTTCATTCATGAACGGAACATTATGGATAATTATAAAAGTTTGTTTATTTTTTTCCTTTGAATACATATAAACGTTGTGTTATTGGAATTTTTGATTATAATTATAAACGAAATGTATTGAGTAAAATAAGTTATCAGAGTCTACAATTTAATATTTTAATATTATACAAAGATTTCCAGATCTGGTCAAATCCAAGCTGCATTTATGTAAAATGTTTGGTTGTGTAAAATGTTTATATAAAATAAAATGTTTTACATAAATAACCAAAGTAAATTTTTCAAAAATTAACTTATGTTAAGGTTAAGTTAAAAATGTGTAAAACGTTGTTTAAACGTTTTGGTATAAAATTTTTCGAAGTATTAAGATCTAAAAAATTTCAACTTAAGTATTGTTCATATTTCAGGTAAATTTCATCACTTTATGCCTTAGTTTTCAAAAAAAAACATTTAGTTAATCATGAGGAACTGGGTAAAACTATTTATATGTTACTATAAATAAGTATGGGTTTCCTTTTTTAATATTTGGAACGATTAAGTAATACGAGTATAAGAAAATAAAAACCAAAAGAAAATAATATTAATGGAAATAAAATATTTGATAATTTTGGCACTAGACAGTAAATCTCTAATCTATTAGAAATAAATACCAGAACTACTTTTTTCATCAACAGAAATATTCGAAATATGACTCGAGCTGTAGGGACTCCAAGGGCAGCAACGCACTTGTGACTTTTAAGTTGCAGGTGTCCATGGGCGGCGGTAGTTGCTTACCAACAGGTGACCCGTCTGCTCGTTTACCCCCTTATACCATAAAAAAAAATTGAGAGTAAAATAAAGACGCAGAGATAGAGAGAGAAAAAAAAACATAGATTTCCCATAGAAAACTAAGAGGTACGAAAATGTTTTTATTTATACAGAACATAAAAATACTTATGATACTAAACGGCGTTGCGCCATTTCTTAGAATACATAGATTTATTAATACCTAATATTAAACTCTCCTATAGGTGGGTCCATTAATACTGTTTCAGTGGTGTCTGGAATTGCTGGCGAAGATGACGGCATTCCCGAAGGTCTCAATGATATGGCTAGAGGCAGTGCTGATCTCGCGCAGAGTTGGGAGGCTCCTCTCGTAGAAGTAACTGAATGATAACGTGTGCAGCGGCCGCGTCTGTCAATAAGAGATTAGACATAAGAATTTGATTTTTATGAAGACATGGTAACCTTATGCAGTTGAGCAAGAAAACAGGGTGAAAGCCATTACATCCGTTTCTCGAAAGTGTCAGAATATTTTTGAAGTTTTTTTGCTGTAGATAGAGCTAGAAATCAGAATTTTCTTCGAATAAGAGATCCGGTTGGCGGTTGGCGTAGTGGTTTGTGTAACGGACTGCTAATCCAAAGGTCGCGGGTTCAATTCCCGCTCAAGTCAAACATTTGTGTGCATGAACATTTAATGTTTGATATGGTCTGGGTGTTTCTATGTATAATATGTAAACATTGAATCATGAACTTTGAACTTAAGTAGTCTTTAACCTATAAAGCAAGGAGAAACTCAAACTTTACGCAATTTCAGTAAACATTTTCATAATGTTTTAAAGAAATATGGGATTTGGGAATATTACTTTTAAAGTTACCGAATATGTCTTATATGGACGCGATCTCAATGTAGTTGTAGTTAACAAATTAAGACACAAGTGATGTCATAACTATATGTAGGGAACAAATTACGTTGTTCAGAATAAGGAAATAATATCGAGCCTTCATTTATCTAGATTTTTAAGGATTTAATTAAGCAGATGTACCTCAATAATTAGTATAAAAATTAAATGTGTACTACTGTGTATCTTCTAAAAGTATTACAGTATCTTATCTTATCTTATACGGTTTTAATAAAGTAAATTATACTTTAAATTTTTCTAACTAAGACAGTTGCGGGTAGGCGTAAAACATTTCGTCCCTTGAATTAGTACGTGACGGAAATTTTATTCTACTTTTATTCTAATAAGGTTACTTTTATAACGAAAATCCTCTCGAAATTGCACCGTATTATTTGTATATATTATTTGACTATTGTATTAATCTTATTCAAGTAAGTATTTAAATATTATTATTGCATGAACCTCCAATAGTAGTAGGCCAAAATCTCCTTTCTAAGGAGAGGCCTATGTCCAGCAGTGGACTATTATAGGCTGTTGATGATGATGATGATGAATTGCATGAACGTTCTTAACATTGAAATTAAAGAAAATACATTTATTAAAATTGTATAAAGACAAGTCAGTAAAGACAAGACAGCCGGTAACAAATCTTAGTGTGTTACCAATGTTATAAATATAAATCCACTGTTGATCTATTTGGGATCAGTTCAATAATGTATGTCCGTAATAAATTAGTATGGGCGGTTTATAAAATTGTTAATATGATAATAACTCAATCAAACAAATTTTACGATACAAGTATATATTTAAGTTATTGCTGTAAACTATTACTGCTAAAAGGTTTTCACTGTTAAAGCAAGTTGATTGAATTTATTTTCAAGTAGTTGTATTACTATGGTAGCTGAATCTTTACTATTCATTTTTCATTGGTAATATAATACAGATTATATAGAGTTCTCTATTATTGACGTAATATTATTTTGTTGACCTTCATTGTGTCTGAGTTGTGGCGGTAGATCAAACGTCTGCGACGTCAGGGCCATGGATTATACTCTTACTCAGCGCAAACATTGACACATATGAAAACGTCTACTTACATAACATGTATAACAGAAAGAGAGGGTTGAATTTTGGGAGCATTAAATGTAACAAGTAGATCAAATACCATGAGAAAAAAAAGAACGTTGACTTTTTTTCTTCACAAATGATTTGCTTATTGCATATTTCTACAACATATTATCATGAATTTCAGGTCAATTTTAATGACATATATAATGGTACAAGAAATGTATCAAATTACCTGGTACAGTGACACCTTAGGAGTCTAAGGAATGCTGCTCTGAATGTTCTGTTGAACACCGTGTAGATAATAGGGTTGATGGTGGAAGACACATATCCCAGCCAAAGGCAGATGTCAACGACATGCTCTGTAAAATTCGAAATTCAGTTTACTTAGAAATACAAGGCAAGGGAAATTGCTGTAGGTAACTTTCTTTAAGATATTTATTTAGATATTAATAAAATAGGAAACAATCATATACAATAGTCTCCAAGAGTCACCGCGCTTGCAGCAGGCCGCGCTTAAGCGTCGTTTAAAGTGTAAACTGTACTCAGTATGGAAAAACAATTCCTTAACCATAGAAGACATCAATTTTATTCGTATTTCGATAAACTCATAAACATGTCAAAACTCTTTTTAGAAAAACATATCTTATTACAATTGGCCGAGACTTTAAATGTTTGAAAACACGTCATCAAAACTTCTAAATCTGGGCGTATTACATAAAAGCCCGTGTTTCTTGGCACCAGCTTCGATTTAATCCGCAATACAAAACTGTGTTATCCAACAATATAATTTGTTTTGACTATATTCAGATTATATTTTCGTTCGTGTGATAACGTATAAAGAATACGGAGTGTCACAACCCCTATTCATCCTGTGGGTGTCCTAAGAAGGGACTGAGGGAACAAACGCTGCTGGACAACAGCACTGCAATAAGAAGGTAAACTTGACTTAAACTATACCAGACGGTGGCCAGACGAATATAGTAGGCTAAAACCTCCTTTCCAAGGAGAAGCCTATGTCCAGCAGTGGACTATTAAAGGCAGTCGATGATGATTGATGAGATTATATTTTAAAGATTGGTTGGTATACCATATTGTTTCTGCACGAATAAAACTTTTGAATCGTATTTTGTTTTTGCAAAGTTTATTTGGTAATTAATATATTTATAAAAAAAATTTTAGTTCAAGGCCTTCCCGGTACCCACCAAATCGACTAATAAGTATGTATCTACTCAAGTGATTGCGTACACTCCATAATCTACTCTACTTCCCTTCTAATCTACACTTTTCTTTTAATATGTTTCCCATTTTACATTTGCGCTTTATAACTTTAAGAATAATTGATGAAACAAGGTTCCCTAAGGTCCCCTAATGATTGGGTCCAAATTATTTGTATCTGTTTTTATTGGTAAAATGTAGGTGTGTAGAGACACATGTTATGCCTACCCGATTAAATCTGAAATATTTTTTTTAAAAGGTTTGTTTGTTTCAAGATCTTAAATTAAAAAAGATAGTACTTAGGATTACGCATAGGAGTACTTTATTTACCTGGTACTATACACGCAGGACATGCTGCAAACAGTATATTAAGTAGAAAAAATGGTGCCCAGCATAATACAAAAGTGAAAAATACAAGTCCCAAGACCTTGGTTGCTTTTTGTTCGTTCGCCACTGCATTTGCCGATAGAGATCTGTCTTTCTTGCGATTAGCTAAAAACCTGTAACAAGAAACTCAAATAAATTTTATGAAAATGCTAATGTGCATTATCTGTATTATAAAATTATCTTAAAAATAAACTACCGAAATTCTCACTAGTTTAGAAATCAAAAATATTTATACATGGAAAATTTAAACCAATTATTTTATTAGGTAGAAAATCAAATACATAATAGACAGTTTTGAAGAAGTCGGTTTTTGAAAATAAGAATGAAAATGAGAGATTATGTGGGGGATAAAGGATTGCAGAAGAGATGAATTTGGGATTATAATTATACATTTTTTTAAATCAGGACCTTGGTAGTCACAAACCTTACATTTGAATTATAGGCCTGTATTTTAAAAGAAGTCTCAAGTATTGGTTAAATTCTTTTTTTATTTATTCATTGCCAATTGAGTAACAAAACTCATAGTGTTAACAATTTCACTTAGCTATAAGTAAAATTGTTAACACTATGTTAGTAAATAATAAACACTACGGACACAATGAGATGAACAGATACCTAAGATGGCACATATTTAGGTATTATGCTGCAAGTCCAGAAGAAAGTCTTCAAAACCGGTTCACAATCGCGCAATTCATTCGGCTAGTGATCATTTTTAGAAAGCTGTTGGTACTGCCCCGCATCCTGCACCGTAGTACTACAGAAACGTGGCAGCCCCATCAGCACCCTAAACGCGTTGTTATATTGAATTCGAAGGGCGCTGTCTCCTTTTAGTGTAAAATGCACGGAATAATGCGACTCTAACTCTGATTGCCTAAAGCTAGTTTTAAGTGCAGATCAAAACTTAAGTATCTTTTTTTTATGTTAGAGGGGGCAGACGAGCCGACGGGTCACCTGATGGAAAATGACTATCGCCGCCCATGAACGTCTGCAACTCAGGAGTCACAAACGCGTTGCCGGCCTTTAAGGCAAGAGTACGCTCTTTTCTTGAAGGTTTGAAGGTCGTATCGGTTCGGAAATACCGCAGACGATAACCCGTTCCACAGATTGGTTGTGCGGGGCAAAAAGTGACTCGAAAAGCGCACAGTATGGAGCGCCAACTATGGTACACAGTACTACAGGTAATGAGGATGAAAATTTTGCCGTGTGGAACGATGGCGGAAATTTGCGGCTGGTATTAGTCCGAACAATTCCTCGGAGCACTCTCCATGATATATGCGATAGATAATGCAGAGTGAAGCCACATCTCTACGTAACGCCAAGGGATCGAGCCGATCGGAGATGTTTGGGCTATCTTAGTATAGAACGCGTTTTAAGTTTAAAAAAAAGTAGACTGTTTGCACGAAACACACAATATAATATATTATATAGTTATTACTTTTATGCGGTACCTACGGTAAATGACCTTAACCTTTGACAGCTGATTGCATAAAACTTTTAATTTTCCTGCAGAAATTTCAACGATTTTCGACTACGAATGATCGTCTGAAAATACCATTTTAGTATTCGCTACGACATCCCTTACACCCTGTATATCTTTTATTTTTGATTGAATTGAATGAATTTGATGTGCATGATCCTAACAGATTATAAAGAAGTTAATAAAAAAAAAAAAAAAATTATTTATGTTCTTATAGGTTTGTTGTTGTTCGTCATTAAAAAGTTATATAAAAAGTTACCATACAAGTATACCTTTACTTTTCTTTTATCACAATCACATAATTTAACTTACATTCGCTTTGTCTGTGCATAATATTTTGAAGTTATTTTTATAGTATTTGGAAGTTAGTACTGCAATATACATAGCATTTTTTTTACTTTTAGTTTTTTTTTTAAAGTATGATGGTATTATTCTTGTTGTTGTTCAATATCGTTTACTTGTTAATGATAATAATCATACACATTTTTGGGAAAAGTAGATATCATAATAATATAATGGGTTGTATTTAATCTTTATTAGATGAAACATTTTATTGAAAAGCTTCAATAATCTTGGAGATTACAGATTTATATTTGTTAATACGATCGAAGTAATAATCTCTTTTGAAATGAAATTTTATTTTGGGTTCGATTTTGTTCTTGTATATTGTACCCTAGTATTTATCATCTGAGTGTTATGATCCGATAATAATGTTTGTTATAATAATGAGTATATTTTAAAATCGCCAGTAATTCATTCACTACATAGATTGGTATCCATTCTAGGTGATTTATATAGCTAGATTTAGGTCCTGCACGGATGGCGTAGTGGTTTAAGCGGTCGCCACGCCGCTTGCTACTACACTTACTGTTGTGGGTTCAAACCTCACATGGGACGACACATTGTGTGATCCACAAATTGTTGTTCTGAGTCTGGGTGTTCTTTGTGTCCGTTTCATGTATGTTTGTAAAGTCCCCCGCGACACAGGATTTATTCCCAATGCGGGCGTTGTCTTTAAAAAAAAAAAAAAATTTCAAAGAAATGAAGATATTTCTTTCTTTCTTTTCTTTCTTTGATAATTACATATTTCTTAGTTTTTAATCATACCCCTTTTAATCATGGATTAGAAGTTCATGTGTACTGTACTTGTGGTTTCTCAATTGAATTCTCCTTCTTTCTTTCCTTCTTTTTCTTTGTCGAATGTAATCTTCTAATAGAATATTTTTAGTGAAATGAGTTGAGAGTTTGATTCTAATTCATGGAATCATTCAGCTCAAATAGTTATGAAAGCGAACTACAAATGCTAAGCTAAAATACATAAAGTTTATTATACTTAGTTTGAAGTAAATATGTTTGATCTAAACTTTCTTTGAGTTTTGAGGCGTCATCATTTACAGCGTTTTCAGTTAGCGTAGAAGTTCTTTAATATTGATTAGTATAAAATTCAAAGTACAGCAATTGATTAGGTTATTTTGATGAATATATTAAAAATTTCTTCAAAATCCTTTAAGACATAAATTAAGAACGATACAATTATTTCCTTAGGTCTATAAAGATAGCATTGCCTCCTTCTTGCCATTGCAAACCCTTTAGACCTTTTTTTTTAATGGGGAAAAAATTCCTTCCGAAATCGAAGATTAAAGGAAGTATAAAACCAGTATAAAACAAAAAACCATATGTAGTAAGGTTTAGTAGATATTTTGATTTGTTATGGTACAAAAGTGCACACAATGACGGTTCTAGTTACATTAGCCAATGAAATGAAATAAGACTTTAAATTTTATAATGTAAATATGATTAGGTACATTAATATCTACTAAAAACATATTCTTGATAAAAATACTGGGGCCTTGTAATTATCAAATACGACATGACTTATTTGCTAAGTTCACAATTCTTATTTAACCAAACCTTCCAAACTTACATTTTGAATCAATATTTACGAAATATTTCGTAAGAAAATTTTACTTTGCAATTTTAATGAAAGCTTAAACTTTGCCCTAAAATTAAAATTTTAACTACGTAATAAAAACCGTCCTAAAGTTGTAAACACCGTTCGAATATAATTAAGAATTCAATTACTATTTAAATAGAGACAGTGAAACTAAAAACCATTTAACCTCGTCGTGATGTGTTTTCAAGTTTAAAGTCGTTCCACTGTGACCGAAACGAACTACATATACGAAGCACAAAAGCTTAAGTCGCTGTCACTAAGATTGAGTTAAGTTGAAAGTGCTAAACAAAGGCATTTCTTTACTTTCCACTTAGTAAAAAACTGTTATTATGACATAGTGGTGTGTGGACGGATTAAGAATACGGAGTGTAACCACCCCTGTTCATCCCGAAGGTGTCGTAAGAGACGACTCAGGGTGCAAGATAACAGCAATGCAAGGAGAAGGAAAACTTGAAACAAACCATAGGTATAGACCAACCTGTCTGATCAGCGGCAAAAACCTCTATTTTTAAGGAGAGGTCTAGGTCCAGCAGTGGACTACTAAAGGCTGTTAATGATTACATTATGACACTTAGACTTTTTTTTCTTATGTTAGAGGGGGCAGACGAGCAGACGGGTCACCTGATGGAAAGTGACTATCGCCGCCCATGAACGTCTGCAACTCAGGAGTCACAAACACGTTGCCGGCCTTTTAGGAAGGAGTACTTTGCAGTAATAAAGAACAATGGCTAAACACAAAGAACAATGGCAGAAACATATTTACCTAAAACTGAAGCGTTTAAAAAATTGACTAACAGTAAACTTACTAAATATTTTTTCTATGATTTATTATTATACCGCCATGTTTTATATAAGTCTAATAAGGGATTGGATATTTTTAAAGATTTTATTTGACCAAAGTACGTAATGTCAGAATCGCCATCACGAACTGACTAGGGCTGCGTGATGATATTATTATGGAACGTTTTATCGATAATCGATTGTTATAACTTTGGCTTGAAATATCTATCGAAGGTTCACCTATTATGATTATGAATTTACTACTGCCCACGGGTTTACTCATAGGCTACCGTAACTAGTACTGTAGTGACTAAATCAACCTAATTAGAAATAATTTAGAATTTTTGACTCTTTTTAAAAGATTTTTGCTACACCAAAATAAATAGAATATAGTTACGTTATTTTCCTACAGAAAAATACTAAAACAATATACTGCTTAGTGTGATGAGAAAAAGACATTGTAAGTTGATAACGGCACATAAATAGACATACATCGATATTTTTAAAATGTCGATACGTCGTCGTCGCACTTACTAGTCTTGTCGTATGACACTTACACGCATGACTTACGTACCATTTCTCACAAGGCAATTGTAGTTTGTTTGGTTGCTTTACTTTTGTTTAGTATTAAACTCTCATATATGTTTATTTTAATTTTAATTTCATATAGTGTTACTCCAATATGCATGATGTGATGCCTTAAAATGTTTAATCTCAATAAAATGGATGCATGATTTGAGTAAATAATGTCACAACTACTGACTGTTGAATAACTAAATAAATAAATGCTCAAGCCTTGTGTAAATGTGTATTGAAGTACATTTATTCAAATTATTATTATTAATTTATTTATTTATAGCTAGTATTACACCTGGTAGGTAAGCGAAGATTTTTTTCTATTGTTCACCAATACATGCCAAGCAAATACCCTTCCTTCCTTCACCCATTTAGAGAGTCGGCTAACACCTTCTACAGCAAAATAGGGTTGCTTATAAGTAATAATAATTATGAATAATATTTTCAACAACGCCATCTAGTTTCAAACAAAACATTGACAATATTTTAGTACTTAACCTCGAAACATTCAAAATCCAATATCTTTTTTCCTAGACTTCTTTCGTTAGTAATTTTTTTATGAGAATGTTCAAGAATAAATTCTCAAGGGTTATAGGCATTTTTGATATTTAAACGCTGTCATTTCACTTCAAATAAAATTATGTATGGGGACCTGCCATTGTCCTTTAATAGTTATATGTAGAGAAGCAGCGGTACGCGGGACAGCCATACTTTGGAACAAATGGGACAGCTCAATATCATGGGCTAACAGAAAACCGGTGCACAATGAACTCTTTTGATGCACTTCACCGAGTGAGTGAGGTTCCTGGAGTCCAAAACCAATCCTGCTCCTGATTCTGATCCGCACAACTGCATGGATGGCGTAGTTGTTTAATCGGTCGCCACGTCGCACAAATTGTTGTCATTACACATCGTATTAGACGATGTGTAATGACAACAATTTGTGTGATCAACGAATTGTTGTTCTGAGCCTTCTTTGTGTCCGATTCATGTATGTTTGTATAGTCATCTGCGATACTGGAGATTTTCGTAATGCGGTAGTTGTCTTTAAAATAAATATTCTAGGAGAGAGCTCAGAGGCAACGTACTCATGACATTTGAGTTTCAAGTGGTAGTTACTTCCCATTAGAAGACCCATCTGTTAATTTGCCCTTCTACACCATGAAAAATACTGTAAATTTATATTTATGCAAATAAATGAAATTGAAGTATCTGTTTGCAATGTCAAAATAATAGTTGTTTTTTCATACTCACACGGTTATCGGATCGATACCTATGCCTAAAAACTAGTTTAAATATTTTTTGTCAGTGTGTTTATTCCGGGTAATCTTCAAAACGGCTCGGTCGATTTTGATTATATTTTAGTACCAGGTAACAGTCTATATAGAAAGTAACTTAGGCTATTTTTTTATCTCAGAAAACCTCTATAAAATTTTGGCCGGTCCGGAAAGCGAACCCATTACGGGAGCGCTTTTCAAATTCCGCCGGCACCAGCTAGTCTTCAAATAAAATTTATGAAATGTGATATGATAGATTACGAAGGATTCCTATTAAGTCATTTGCTACTGTATTTCTGTCATGAGCAGTACCCGGGTAACTAATTGTGCCTTCCGCATGTATCAGTACGACTGAATGATAAATTTGTCACCAATGTTTGTATCCCTTACAAGCATGGTCGGACAAAGCTGTATCGATGTGACGAAATAAAATAATTTACGAAGCTTTTTATGTAAATGATTTCCCCAAAGTCATATTTTAATTTGCGGTATTACAAAAGAATATATTAATTTGCGGTGAACGTTAACAAGAATATTTTAATGATTACATTAAACTTTACTTAAATCCGAAATTTCGATAAAAGTCTATCTGAAGTCGATAAACTGTCATAAATAGTCCCCTTTGTTGTGGCTGATTTGTCCCAAAATATCTAGAGACCTAGTATAGATTAGCATCTATACTGCTGTACTGAACTAGAACTAGAAATAACCTGTACTGAACTAGAGACCTAGATATTTTGAGAACAATCTAAAATATAGCAGATTAAATACGTTTTCATCTGCTATATAACTATTAGAATTTCATATAGTGTGCGGAAAGGTTACATAATGTGAGAAGGTACGTCGACACGGCTACTGTAAAATTTTGTTGTTTTTCTGTTGGTCTAGTGGTTAGTGACCCTGACTGCTATGCCAGAGGTCGTGGGTTCGATTCCCACCCAGAACAAACAATTGTCTGATAAGCACGTTCATTTGTTCTGTATCTGGGTGTACTTTATCTATAATAGATATGTATTTAGAAATATATAAGTATGTTTATCAGCAGTCTGGTTACCATAGTACAGGCTCTGCCTAGTTTGGGATCAGACAGCCGTCTCTGAGATGTGTGAAAATATTATTATATTATATAATTGAGTTCAATATTCATATTTTGTATAAATATTGGTACTCGTAGGTACTTTAAGCTTTAAAACATTACATAGTTTAGCCGATATTTTTATACTAAAGATTTTATGCTAATTGTATATATATTAAGATAAGATCAGAGTTGAAAGACAAAAGAGTACACAATGTTTCTAAGAACCATCAAAACTTACCTCAAAGCATTTGGAGCAGCTAAGTTCAATTTTAATATTGTGTTCCTTGCTCGTCTAGTCTCCTCCAGTACACAAGTAGGTGTTTGAGTAGACACATCGCGCCTTCGTCTTGACACATAGCATCCTTTACCTCTGCAGCCGTTCATGTACCTTCGCAGACGTAATAGATAGTCATACCTATTACCTTTCAAGATTTTCCTTTAGAAAAATAAAACTTACCTCAAAGACAAAGCATTTGGAGTAGCCAGATTAAATTTTAAAGGTCTTAATCTTGCTCGTCTAGTCTCAGCTGCTACACTAATTGGTGTTTGAGTAGCAACATCGCGACCGCGCCTGGCTCCGGACCCGGGACCGCCACAGCCGTTCACGAAGCTTAGGTGAGGATGGGAGACGCTCATACCAATTTTGTTGCTCTGTGATCTAGGCAAGAAACAATTAAATTTACTAAAACAATGTTAGTAGTTTTAATTATTTTAATCTACTTTTCTTTTAACATAACCTCGTATGTTAAAAACAAAAGTAGTTCTAATCGCAGCAGTGTTAACAAAACATGGAACTGTAAAACAACACGACAGCCTCTTCTACCAATAAAATACATTATGGTAGTAATTATACTTCTTATCAGAATATGAAACAAGAATAAACCTCTTTTTAAAACAAACAAACTTTTTTGTGTTAAAATTCTATAAGCTTGTACATGTATAAATGTTTTACAAAATACTAGGTTACACCTTGAGCAGGTGAGTATTAACAAAAATATCTATTACCTGATAATGATTTAAAGATATTCTAATCGAAAAAGTACGATGAAGCAGTAGAATGGGTGTTTTTTATTACTTTGTGAAATAGAAAACTCAATCTAAACTTTTCCCAAGATTGAAATTCAAATGAAGTATCTTGTTACCTGTTCCAAGCAATGACAATTAATTTACTAATTAATTTATTTTCAAATTCATTAATAATCGATCGAGAGAATTTTAATACTCGTCATCAACTTTAACAGTCCACTGCTGGGCGCATTGAGGCGTTGGGATTACGGGTGGCCCTGGATAAGACGGAGGCCCTATTGTTTCATGGGCCCCGTCGTGGTCCACCCGCCGGCGCCTCAATCGAGGTCGGCTCGGTCCAGATGAGGTACCTGGGTCTGGTCCTAGACGGTAGGTGGCTCTTCGACGAGCACTTCCGACAGCTTGGTTCGAAGCTGGTGGACACTGCCTCCGCCCTAGGGCGATTTTTGCCCAATTTTGGGCGGGGCCAGTGTTCCCAGGAGGCGGCTGTACGCAGGGGTTGTCCGGTCCATGGCGCTGTATGGTGCACCGGTGTGGGTGGCGGCTCTGACCACCCCGAATAGGGCGCGCCTCTGGCGCCCCCAGAGGATATTGGCGGTCAGAGCCATACGCGGATACCGCACGGTGTCCACCGAGGAGGCTTGCGCCTTGGCCGGAACACTCCCGTGGGATTTGGAGGCGGAAGTGCTCGCTGAAGTTTATCGGCGAGTGGCTGACTTCCGGGCGGAGAGCGGATTTCGCCCTCCGCCCGAAGACGTGCGCCAGTGGCGTGAAGCCGCTACCCGAGCCACCATGGTGGTGCGAAGTCGTCATCTCGCAGAAGGAGGCGGCGGAGGGGGCCCGGGAGGACAGCATCCACTCGGACCCAATCCGTCGCCGGTGAACCGGGCGGCGGAGGCGCGCTTATCACCGCCTAATGCCGCCCTGAGTGTGGCCGCGGGTGGACGGAACGGGTTTTCCCCTCCACCTGCCATAACGGCCAGCCGCGAGGAGGCAACGTCCGCGTGTACCGGACGTCGCCTACATAGAGAATGTACCTGAAGGTGGTGCCCGCACCGTTGCAGGCGCTAGGAGGGATCCGGAGATCCTAATAACAGCAGTTAAAAAAAAAAAGCGTTAGTGTCAAGTTTTCTTTCTCTTAATATTGTTACTTGTAAATAAAATCCAAATTGATCGTCGCAATAAAAACTTTCATCCTATCTTTCGAGTCCTAATCTATTGTCCTAATAATCGCAGTATTATATTAAGCCCAGATATAATTTAGACTTATAATTGTGAAATTAGATTAGTATGTCATGTTTATTTAATTTGCTACTTACCTGGTTGTACTAGTTATTCTCCAAGTGAGCTGCCTTGTCACTGTTCTATTAGGTGACAGATCCGGAGAACTTCTCACTCCTACCCGTCGCATGCCTTGATTTGGTTGATCAAAACCTCCGCATTGCCTGTGAAGAAAACCACTTAGTTTTAGACAGTTAATTTGCCGCCAACCTAATTAGTTTTAAACCCAAATGAAAGATTTAGTTCAAGCAAGTGTTTTTATAGTTAGATATTTATAGTGTTTATTAAAAAAATCAATATAATACATATCTTGTTAAATTACAATATTAATTATATATTACAACATAATTATAAATACAATAATTATAGAGCCAAATTAGATTCGAGGAAGCGTGGTGGAAGGCAAAAGTTTAGCCACGCATGAAATACTGTTCCTCCCGTTGAATACGGATGAAGCTTTACTCAGTACTCCTATCGCTTATATCATGGGAATTGTTTCAAGAAATTGTTTCGGACTTTTACCGGCCATAGACGGGTCACCTGATAGAAAGCGACTACCGCCGCCCATGAAGGCTTGCAACTCAGGAGTCACAAGCGCGTTGCCAGCCTTGTTTGACAACTGTGCCATAAAATAATAATAATAATAATCTCAGACATCTCACACACGGCCGTCTGATCCCAAACTAGGCAGAGCTTGTACTATGGTAACCAGTGCTGAAAAATATCTATATTTTAAATACATACATATTATGGATAAATTACAAAATACAAATATGAACCAAATTAAAAGGAGGGAGGTTTTCGATTCAACTGAATGAATTTACAAATAAATTTCGTTTCGATGTGTATGTTACATGATATTTTCACGGCTATTTTTAAACAAAATGAGTTATCCTCAAGGTTGGTTCCAAAAGTCTGTAAGCTACGTATTATTAACTCTCTTTCAGCGAGGATCGGCTATCATCACGTAAACTTGTGATAAGCATATTTGAATATACGATTCATTCACGAGCTTTATGTATACGAACCCTGCTGAACACAGCGTATTTTTAAGAGGTATTTTAAGAGTTTCTTACTTCAAAAGGGAATCCTTCTACTATTGCTTTGTAGTCAGTCTTCCGTCAATACCTAACTAACAAATTGTAGCCCAGGTATAGAACGAAGATATGTTTTATCTAGTTTTCCTTTTTATTTTATCTTATACTGTGAAAATTGATCCCTTTTACTTAAGAACTTCAATTGTATCTAAAATACTTATCAATTTACCAATATGGTTATCACTATTGATTGATGTTCCCCTATAAATCAAATCCCCAAACAGGCAAGTTGAGCCAATGTTGGCTAGAACAAACAATTACATTAAGCTTTTAGTATCGATTATGTCGTATCTGTATGTTATGTAGCGATATTTATGATCAACACTATGTCGGTTTATCGCTACGATTTATTATGATCTTGTTTACAATAATGTCGTGGACGTTGGATAGTTTGCTTGGTGTGGTTTTATTGTTTCAACGTTTGAAGATTAGGCGACAATAGACACATTAGAATTTGTGTTTATACAGCGTGTTTGACAAGTATTAATAGCGAAACGAATTAAGTACTACTATCTATCTCCTGGCAAATTTATCAGACTGACCTAACAAACCTAATAACCTTAAGCTTATGAAGGCGTTTCTAGTTTATATGGGCATAGTTTCATCTAGTTTGTTTTAAGACTCAGACTTGTCTTTGTCAGTTTTCGGTACAAGCACCACACGTCCCTGAGGACGTGTGGTGCTTGTACCGAAAACTGTTGACCTTTTTGATGTCTTCTGAACATCATGAAGTGAGATAACTTCATAATACGGAAGCACTACGACGTGCTGGTATTTGAGGCGTACCTCATGCAGCGGTCGTTGATGTGGTCAAGTGTTCCAGATGACCGAAGTTGAAGTGGTTAGGCGCATCTTTTACTAAAGTATCAAGATGGCAAGCGCAAGCAATGGGGATAGCTCTTGCGGCACAAAGATCTGCTTTAAACATAATATAAAGAAATGTAACATGAACCCACCAAATGCCAACCATAAAAGCCACTCGATGAGAATCCATCACAGTCGAGAATCCTCGGGGAAGCACAACCCTAACGCTTTCGACAATAAAGTAAAATATTAACATTAATATTCACCACATTCACACAACGCCATCTAGTCCCAAACTAAGCAGAGCTTGTACTATGGCAACTAGACAACTGATATAAATACATATACACTTTTTTTTTGTAAATACACACATAGAAACGCCCAGACCAAATCAAACACTAAATTTTCATGCACACAAATGTTTGACTTAAGCGGGAATCGAACCCGCGACCTTTGGAATAGCAGTCCGTTACACAAACCACTACGCCATCCGGTCGTCGCGATGAATTACCATTACCGCGATGACTATTGTTATTTTATATTTTAATTTATCCAAAATGTTTGCACGCATTTCTCGCCAAAATTGAATACATTAGCCCCTTGCTAGCACATGAGACAATAGAACATTAAATACGTCGAGTAAAGTACGTTAGTAGTTAAGTCGTTTAGGACATAACAACACTGTATGTTACTATAGCCCTCTCGGCCTGTCTTATCCCTTAGTCCTCAATCCCGTGTAAAAACAACAACAAACATTTTCAATTAAGATTAGCGGCCAGTAGACGGTCATCTATATAAAAAAAAACAGTCAAAACCTTTTGCTATATTACTCCAAATCAAACCTAAATAAAGTTAAAAAAAAGAAAGAAGAATCAGAAAGATGATGATGGTCATGAAAGATTACAGAAATTTAAAAATGTGTAAAGGACAAAAAATAATCTACAACATACTCATTATTGCATTAAAATCACTCTATCAAATTGTTAATCCTAGATATTTATATCACACATACACATACAATTTTATCTTCTTGTATTTGACAAAGTTTAATCTTCTAACTCAATATTTAGTTTGCTTGAATACCCATTACCATAAAAGCTTTAATATTTAATATTAGCTTCCACCCGCAGCTTCGCTTGCGTGGATTTCTGTGACCGTGATCCTTTTTTCGCCCGATTTATACAGCATGAGATTTTATCGACCTCTTCAACAAAAATCGTTCTATTTCAATCAATTTATATAAAATCGTCGTGAATTATACAATTAAACCTTTCTCAGGAATCATACTAACTTTTGTTGAAAACCGTACAAATATCCATTAGGTAGTTTTTGAGTTTATCGCGTTCATACAGACAGACGGACGCGGCCGGAGGATCATTTTATAATATGTGTAGATTTATGTACTGCATTTTAGAACAATAAAACTTTAGTAAACAATTTTGTAAAAGATTAGACACCAGCTTTTGCCCGTGGCTCCAAACGTCGGTTATCGAACTGCCTGTAAGTGGAAGCAATATAGGCAACGAGAGGACGCTAAACTGCGATTGGTTATCGTAAAGTGGGCATTGTTTTGATATTAGAACCAGAAATTACCGCAGCTAATTGCAGTCTCAACCACCATCTCTCTCGTTGCCTATATTGAAAGATTGGGGCACTTGTTCCCTCAATGCTTTTTTTTTCTATTGCTATAACTTTGTGCTGATACAAGTATTTAAAAGATAAATTGTAGCCATAACGTTTAGAAGTTAAACCTAAGATAAGTTATCTATTCACACTTGAACCTTTCATGTAAAAATACGGCCATTTTTATGCAAAGGACTCTTGTAAAACTTATTTAACATTGTTTTATTAGCTTGGTATGTATATGTGTAACAGAATATTTAAACGTGATTTTAACACACTTTAAAACTTGGACTTAAACTGACTGATATTTTTTATTGATAAACTTAGCCGATTATCTTGATCAAGATCTTTAGGATTAACGGCTTTTTCCATACCTAAAAATACGGTAGTGTCTTTTGGTACGTACAAAGAGGCATGTGCTGAAGCATAATTTAATTACTTACTTGTTACTTTTTAGTTTTAATGAGAAAATAATAATCATTAATGACTAAAAAGCAAAAATGAATTATAGTTTGAAATTACTGAAAATCGCTTTTGTAACTAGCCGAACTAAAAAGTAGAATATAATTTTCAAGTTATGCTATAATAATAAAACAATAATAATATCGTTTATTTTACAGATTTTATCTCCCTAGTACTTGATACAAACACACAACTGACACAAATATAATAACTTTACTTTTACCAATGAAACATTTTTACAACCAAGTACGATTTAGTTTAAAAAAATAAAAAAATACACGCTTCTGTTCTAGCCGAACTTAAAAATAGAAAATACTTTTCTTTAAGTTCAAAAGAAATATCATTTTATGGTAAAAACACGTGGGGTGCATTTCAAGATATGTTATAATCGTATAATAATCAATAATATCGTTTATTTACAGATTTTAACTCCATAGTATAGGATAAAAATACAAAAATGACACAAATATAATAACTTTACTTCTACCACTATCTGTAAATAAAATATTTTTACAAGAATTGTGATCTAGTTAAAAAAAAAAAAACAAAAAAATACACGACTTTATACTAGCCTAACTAAATAATAGAAAATGGGTGCTAGGTGTAGAAGTTGTAAATATTTTATTGATACAAACATGTGTTAAAAATAGATTCAACGATGTAACCATCGTTGAATCTATTTATCAATTAATTGACAATTTTTATTTCTCTTACATTTAACTTCATATTTTCTCTAACAAAAGCTTTTAATAACTACCACTAGTTATCGGTAAGCCAATAAATATGGAGTCGGTCTTTCGTAACAATGACTCAGGAATTAATATCTAGTTGGCGTCTCCGGCTATATTCATTAACGTCTAGTGACCACCAATTATCCGGCTGCTAAGCATAGTAATTACGGCATACGACATCACATTATAAACTATCATGGAAAGGCTTAACTAAGCTAAGCTTCCATGACATGTAAATAAGAATTACGACTTTATTGCCTATTAGGTAAGTGTTCTTATCCATTATAATTAGATTTTAGTTGTTCATTTTAAATGTAAATTAGTTAGATAACGAGCCTATCACGACTTGTTTCTTGATGTTAACGCCTAATTCACAGTTATATTTACGAGGGGCTAAGCAGAGAGGTATTAATTGAACAGTATAATTTTAATGAACTATATATACCC